TTCTCATTCCGAAATGGGTAACTTTCCCATCCCTAAATACCTAATCTGGGGAAATAAGGGCCCAAATACTATTAAATGACTGACCTATGGTGTACACAGGGTTTTGTTTGTCTCAGAAATATCCCTGAAAGTGGAGAAAACAACTTCTAATTTATTTATTATTTTCTCACAATATTTCTAAGAGTTTCAGGATTATCAGATGGATGAGTTAAATCATGAGACAGCCCCACTGTTTACATTATTTGTTCATAAATATTAATTTCTTGGCCATATCATTGTACAAGTGAGCCAGCAGAAGTACTAGTGATTTGACAGTGTTCTGCCCGTGGTGCAAGTTATTTCCCTCCATTTTCTCTCAGGATTATTCTATGTCTCTGCAACTGTTCTCCGAAAGGGAACAAAAACTTATGACAATTCAGTATTGTTTTTCACAGTGTAGCAGGCCAGATTTTAATCACCAGTTTGGCTGGTACCGTGTAACCAAAGAATAATAACTAGTTCCACCCTCTGTCCTAGAACCTACTTCCTGTTACTTAAAGTAAAAACATCTCCTTCATTTAACATTATAAAGAGTTTATTATTCAAAACTACAGTGATAGCTACAATATAGGCATTTACCCCAGAATATTGAGCCCCACTTACCACAGAGTGAGGTGAAATGGGCAGTAGACACACACAGATAATAATAGATTTCATTAAAGAAGAGGAAAATTTCAGTTTAAGGAAATTTATCTTTTGTAGTGGACAGTAAATATGCCTTTCCTTTGCTCTAAAAAGAGACATACACATGTTATATTGCAGAAAGAATTCCTGCCTTGTCTTCTACAGGGAATTACAGTCTCTATTTTGCAAAATCTTCCATTATTTAAATAGCCATCAAAAGAAAGTAAGAAACAATAGGCAGGGCTTTACTCATAAGAATTACAGAAACAAAAGACACCCATGCAGCATTGTCTTTCAGTAATGTAAAAGAGTGAAATTGGCAGAAAACCCATCTTGATAACCCCTAGATCATGACAAATTCATTTCCAAAATAAAGCTCCAATTAGTAATACTTAAGACCTGAATTGTTTACTGTTGGCAGATGCATATTGTCAAAGCCGATACATGTTGTTGATTTGATTCACAGGAAAGGTTACATAACTTTAATTTCCATTTTCCTGAATACTAGCAAGATCCATAAAGTGAAAAAGTATTTGTTGAGCACCTATATGTATCAGGTACTTAGCTGAGAATATGAGATATACCACAGAATATAAAGGAAGAAAAATCATGAAATTATAAAGCTTACACTCTGGCAAGAGGAAAAATAATACATGGTTGAAACAAAGTATGTACATAAGATGATATCATATATTAAAGAAAAGGAATAGTAAATAATGCACAATATTAAGGTAATACATTTTAACCATGTGGTCTTCTATTTTCTAAAATGTCTACTCATATATTTGTCCAATATTTATTGAATATTTGCAGTTTTTCTTGAATATGTTATTTATTTTATTTGTATTAAGAATCAAAGTTTATAACCTACTCTACATTCCCCCACTATATATATGTGGCAGTTTTGCAAATGAGATGTTGCACATTTTGTATAATGAAATTTAACAAAATTTCAGTCAGTATCTCAGTTTTGTATTTTATATGAAATTTTCCTAATTTCCAAAAAAAAAAATGTATATTCCCTTTTCGAAACTTTCATAAATGTTACTATCAAAGTTCGAGTGCTAATTTAAAGAATATTCTAATAGTTTCAGATGATAAGAAAGTTAATTATTACCATACAATTTGTGTAATTTCTCTCTTTTATTATTATAATAGTTACATACACACACACACACACAGAATAGTAATACTCTAGCGGTTATAGGGAGCAGGGACTCAGACAGACTACTAGCCTGAAACTTGGAAACTGAATGGAGTTAGGCTTTTACATTTAATGTGGTGGGAAACTATTCACCTCTCTACAGAGGAGGGAGATACAATATGTCTTATACTTTAACTATATTACTTCGGCAACTATTTTGGGTAGTGTATATGTGAAGCAGAGTTAGAAGAGAAAAGAGAAAATGTACCTGTAAAATAGAGGTTTTTACCTTTAAACACACACACACACACACACACACACACACACACACACACACATATTCTTCTCAAACATGCCATATCTTTTTTTCTCATACAGATTCCAACAACTCCCTCATTTTCTTATCTTTACTCAAAACTCAAGTTCTCAGTGCCAGGTTCCTTAGAAACACTGGCTCTCTATATTCAGCCACCTCCAGTGAATTTCATTTCCTGTTTCTTGTTTCATTTTTTTCCTCCTAAACATTGTTCCTATTGAAATACTGTATATTTACTTCTCTTTGCTACTGCTTGTCTCCCCTGCTAAAATGAAAGCTCCGTGAGGGTAGGATCTTTTTTTTTTTTGTTTTTTCTTTGTGTTATATCAATAATACCTGTGCATAGATGAGATCCTGGAGAAGGGCTTATGCAAAGTATTTGAGGAATGAATAGGAAAAAAAAATGAATTTAAGAAATGAATAGGGTCAAAGCAAGAACTGAGACAGACATGCCTGGGTTTAGCCTAAAAGTCACATGTGAAAATTCCTCTTAGGACAACTGTGCTTTTCATTAGAGAAAAGCAGACTGGCCAAAGGAATGGGCAACTGGAGAGTCCATTCTGACACTAAAAGGGGCTGAGTCAAACCTCAGACCCAGATTCTAATATCCTTGCTAGAACATGGGCACAGATCTATTGTTTTCTGCTTGTTTGTTTTTGAGAAGCCAGAAATGGATTCACATTATATGAGCTCTCCCAGAGTTCAAAACACCTAATTTAAAATAGGAAACAATAAAAACTCACAGGCCAAACATGACATGATAGCAGTCAAAATTGGTCCCTGTGGGCCTACGGGTATTGGCTGGGCAAAATTATGATGTATGAAAGAAAATAATTAATCTCTGTGATATTCAGGTGGACTTACTTGACGCAATCAAACAACCTTAGGTCAATGTTAGGTAGAGAGAGTGAACTGGATTTACTACATTCTTTAAACTCCTGGGAAGGCCTACCCCACATGACAGCCCCACCCCCAACTATGCATAGATTTGGGGAAGCCAGGGCAACAGCAAGCTCCTGACACTCTATATTTGAAGAGAGAAGTATGGCTTAGTACAAGATGGGATCACAGAATCATAAGAAAACATTTTGATAGGGATCTAAGGAGGGTTCTCTAAAGATAAGACAAAGAGGAAGAAAAGAACATAGACCCACGCACTGGACACCGCAGTTCTCAGGGACTTTATTGGGGTCGCCACTCTTTTTGTCCACTAGCCAATCGCATGTAGCATACAGCCAAACTAAGTACTTATACAATGTCACATTTCCCAGTCCAACTTGCCATGGCAACTGCATCACCTGGAAAGAAAGAGTTATACACATTTCCATTACAGATCCCATGAGTTTGTAGGGGGATCCACACTGTCCAGGAAGTACCAGTGAGATGTTAGAAGCCACAGGTTTGGGAGGGGGTCAAGAGAGAAGGGGGCTTCTAGTATCAGTTCCTGTCTATGGCAGAACACTGATTGGAGCCAAATGAGATTTTAGGCATATGGTGAACGAAGCATGGACCATCAGGTATTTCTCATACCCTGGGCAGACACTAGGCTCACTCCTCTGATATCCCAGCAAGAGGAAGACCGCTGATGGGACTGTTATACCTGGGTTCAGCAAGCTTCCATCTTTCTGGATAGCATACTCTCCCACAGCCCAGTTTATGGAGAACCCTGTTAATGACTTTAAGCTCACAATTGAGGTTCTGCTCCGCAGGTGTGGCACAAACTCCCTGAAACTAGAAAGCCCTTATAAGTATAAACTTGGCTCTTGCTTAACTCCTCTGAATCACCCCCATCCAAACACTCTTCTAGAGAACTTTCACTGCCTCTGCTTTCATAGACAGTTGTCACTTTCTTTGCACACAAAGCCAGGGAGGTCATTCTGATAATGCTAGGAGTCCAGCTGATTCCTGGGCCTACACACCCCTTATGGGCCCCACTCTCCACCCCTCTTTTACTGTGTTCTCATTCCCTCAGTAAGTCTCTCTTCTTAGAATTGTTCCTTGCTCAACATCCCTTCCTTTCTCGCCTGATACCCACCCACGACAGACCCTCTCTTTGTGTGTCCTACAACCTTTCCCCAGAGCCCGACCAACTGGATCTCTCTCCCCTTGCTCTGGACCTCTTGCAAGCACTCTTCTGGCCCTCTCTACACAATTCATTCTGTTTTCTTCCAAGCCCCAAGATCTCACTCTCTGTTCTCCACTCCTTTCCCAACTGGGTGCACCCCCTTCACAGCTCATCCCTCTTTCAGGGAGCCTCTCTCTCCCTGACCCCTGTTCTCCTTTTCTTAAACAGTCACCACTTCCTCTCCCTTCCCCTACAGCCCAACTCTAGTCCCTCCCCTCCCCCCTTATACCAGACCAG